GTAATAGATAGTTACAATACAATATATAATAATATTTTATATTTTATTTTATAATATATAAGTATAATTTATTTATGTAATAGATATTTACAATACAATATATAATAATATTTTGTATTTAATATAAAAATAATATTTAATATAAAATATTTTAATAATATTTAAATAAATATAACTATATATTTTTATTTTTCTAATGTTTAAATATTATAGGTATAGATTTGACGTATTTACAAAATATATTTAAATATCAAACTAGTTACCAATATGTTCACAAACATGGTGAAAGGAAAGTTCGCAAAATATTTTCCTGCAAAATGTTTACGTATGTAAATATTTTTCAGTGACCTAAATATTAATTCCTAAAAAAGCGTTTCATGCGTAGCGTGCCCTGAATATTAATTCCTAAAGAAAAGAAGAAGACAAGAAATGGGATTTTGGCGGTGGCGTGAACGTTTGGCACCGCGGGACCATGAATTATTCTTTCAGGGTCGTGGTGCTGCAGAAAGGAAAACGCCGCTGTTTGGTCACCACTCTCTCACTTGGAGACTGAGGCTGCGACTCAAGCATTTCGTCCATGGCGTTTTGGTTATCCCGCATATCTCAGAGATCAAAACCTGCGCGTTTTTTCATTCAATCCTTTATTCTTCCACCAACCTCCAAACCTCCTCCATTTCCAGCCACCAAAACTCTACAAACCCAATTCAAGTCACCTGATCCCAAACAGGAGCTTGGGTTCCATGTTTTAGCAGGAAGAAGGGACTGTTCGTTTCAGAATGTAGCCCTAGCGAGGTTCTTTAGCTCATCTGTTAAGGAGGATAGCCAGTTTTCAAGGTCCTGGATTGACGTGTATTTGCCTCAATGGACGAGGCCCTACGCTCACCTTTCTCGTCTCGATAAGCCTGTAGGGACTTGGTTGCTTGCATGGCCTTGTATGTGGTAAGCTTTCTCAGAGCTCTGTTTTGCAATTAGGGCAAAATTTGCAAGAAAATGATTGTTGGATTTTTGACTGGTGAACCTTTTCAGAGTTACACTTCGGGTTGCCCTAGTTCTAAGTGTTTCTCCAAGTTGGACTGTCTTCTCTTGTGGTGTTTGTTAGAGTTGAATAATTTGACTTCATGCTTTAGATGAGATGGACACGTTTCTTCTTTCTTCTTCTTCTTCCTATTTTTGGGTAAAAACTGAAAGAACGAATAAAAGGAGTGATTTTCTCATCTAGAGCAAATCAGATTATTCAACTCTGCAAACACTAAAAAGGAGAATCACATGTTTCTTAACCTATTGGATTATGTGTCTCCTGCTATGAATACTTTGCTGTTTCAGTTTATGAATTTCTGACAATGAAGTTGTGTTTTTCTTTTCCATTTACATTTTGGTGATTAATCCTTAGATCAACAATCCCTTTTCTTTGTTTGTTGATCACGGTTCATCTGCGTTGATCAATGCAGTTCTTGTTTTTCTATTTTCGTTTACTTTTTGTGGATTGGTTCTCAGTTAAAAGATCCTCAGTCTGTTTGTTTGTTGATCAAGGTTTTCTGTGATGATTTGATGCTCCATCCTGAAATAACCTAACCCACGTTGTTTTGTTTTTAATTGTTCTCTTATGTTGAGAATTGAAACTTGGCATGCTCGATTACCCCTTGTTGTGGTGCACCCCTTCTAAAACAAATCCAATACCTTGAAACCATCTCACCTATTACCGACGCATCAATTTCAAGAAATCCAAACACCTAATTGGTGTAATAAATTCTGGGAAGGTAAGATGAAATCAAGAGAAGTAAAATAGGAAATAAAAAAACACAATTGCGCACTACAAACAATAATCCAATCACCATCAACGCACAAATAGACATGGTTCACCTAAATCGGGTTGCATCAAGGGCAACTGGCAAGTATGAATTCACTATTTATGGAGGAAATTAGAGGGTTAGTGGGTTTGTATAGATTACCTTACAGTGGCAAAAGAAAAGCTCAAATTGATTTTTCCATATTATAAAAATACCATCAATCAACTCATTTCTTTGCTATTGTCGACCAACTCTGTTGTCTTCAAGAAAAATGTTGATAAATCCAGCTTAATACAAGGGCACAAAGAGGTCTAGGGCAAAACCCCCAATCTCTTTGATACAAATAAAATTGGGGATATTTTAATTTTATTTATTTATTATTATTATTATTTTTAATTTTTAATTTTAATTTTATTTTTTTAAAGAATAGGAAGTGAGCTGAGATAATTAATAAGGGAGGAAGGATTTTGGTATGTATTGTTAACTGGGAGGATTTTGTGGAATAGATAAGGAATCAGTGTTTTAAAATGCGGGATGCGGCCCTGATGCGGTGGGGGCCGATGCGGCGAAGCGGCCCGGATGCGGGTGCATTGCGATGATACGGTCAATAATGTAAAAAAATTCTAAAAAATCTAAAAAAAATAAGTTAATGCATAGAAAAAAATATGAAGGTGATATATTGGATAATATGTATTTTAGTTTAATGATTAACTTCAAAACTATTAGCTGTTGGAGATTCTGTATCCAGTTATCCACTATCCCCTGATAAAAACTAGAAACTTGAAACCAGCTTCATAAAGCATTCAACAATACCATAAGCACAACCATAAGCACAACCATCAACAACCACAAGCACAAAATAATGATATTACAAAATACAAACCAAAATTCAAGC